ATTTATCATGTTTATGTTTATTATGGATTTTCACAATAACTTTTAAAGCAGACATTCCAATATATCAATTGATATACTTGTGCTACACTTTTTTTTTAAAATTGTATTTCTACAAATCTAGATCATCATGAATACATTGAAACATCAGTTATTTACATGTCATTATCAGAATATTTTACATGTTTGTGAACATATTTGTGTAACTGTAGTGATAATTATTAACATATCATTAATTAAAGCACTGTATTTTATGTGCCATTCCATGATGGGGTTGTGTTTCATTGTACTATATTTAGCATAGTGATATCTTTTATATTTTATTCTGTATATATGTAAATAATTTCTATTGGAACATCTGTATACTTCATGCATTCCAGACTAAATTTACTTTGTTATCAAAGAATCAGATGGCAAGATATTTTATACAATTTACAAATAAAAAAAATAAATGGTTTAATTGTTTTCTTTATGGATCAGTTTTAAAAAGATAGATGAGGGTTGTCCATGAAGTTCGTGGACAATGACGTTTTTGTCAGACTGAATGGTCCTAGATATACTTATTGTCTACCAAAATATTTGTTATGAAAATCTAAGAATAATTTGGTTTTGGTTATTTGAACGTAATATTTTTGTAAAAATCACAGTCTTTAAAGGTCGCAAGTAGTGCCCAGGGTTAAAATTCATAAAATTTGAAATAAAAGTTTTTTGGTTAAAATAATTATTTTCTTCATAAAACAAGTCAACTCAATAAAAATTAAATGGTCTTAAATAAAGCGGTTGTCGTCATTTTCTTTTTCTTATAACTTTAGTATAATCGCTTATTGGACAGAGAAAATATGAAGAAAAATATGTTTCAAAAGCGACGTCGGCCATCCTAACGCAACAGCATCCAATCGTAATATGGTTGAAAAGACGACAGAGACAGTGATTATTAAAACAAATGGAAATTATTGGAATATATTTAGTTCATTGATTCGAAATTGATATACGAGTTTTGAACGGTAAGTACTGTTTGAGAGACACTACAAGAAGTGGAAAACTACTGATATTTGACGAAAATAGGATATCCTTATATATTCATGACGTTGTTATAAATCAGGCGCAACGTCGGGCTGAACTGGCTGTGTATTCGAAGAATTTATACTGGTACGCTCGTAAATTATCGAATATTGTTTTGAATTTTTAAAAAAAAAAACTACTCAATTATGGTCTATTTGTAAATATTAAAGCACAAATTAACTTAGCAGTGTGGCATAATAAAAGAAAAATAAAGCGTGTGTTCCGAGTTGCTGCGCGGAATCTCGACGCATCGAGTTCACCAGTCTCTTGATTATGAAATACCTGTTTTCAGATGCTGAAGTCAAATCCCTCGATCCTGGCAGAGTGGTACGTACAGGGGCGGATCCAGGATTTTTTTCGGGGGGGGGGGGTCCACAACAATTGTTTCAAATGCTAGACTCGATTTTTTGACAAGCAAAGAATAAAAAAAATATTGTCCAAGCCTGAAAATCCTATTGGGGGGGGGGGGGACTACACTTTTGCTAAGTCCAGACCTAAGTCAATTTTCTTCTGAAAGATACGAGGGGTTGATCCAAGTAATTTCAAAACTGCTTTAAAATCGTTGGTGATCAATGGAATGTATCAACAAAATTTTGCATACTAATACCCCTATCTATTTTGACTTACGCCTTAAATTTCTTTCAGTAATATATTAGTACCTTTTAAATATTAAGATAAACATTAAGTTAAGATTTGTGTTACCGACGTCGTTATATGACATTACTTTTCAGCACTCATTTTTTTTAATTTGCAATATCTGATATTATTTTTCCCAATCGTTCCCATGTATCTGATTGGCTCAAACTAGATCGCAAACATCTTATAAACTGGGTGTTTCTAATTTAAGCGTCTAAAAAAGCTTACAAACCTGGTGTTTCTACTTCTGTGAAGCAACACTAGTGATGATGTTACAAAAGTCCTTATAAACTGGATGTTTCCAAAAACGGATAATTAAGCTGCTATTTGTAATTGTGACGTCATAATACGTATGACGTAACAATGCCTTATAATTATGAGAAACTACATCGTCGGATACCCACGGGTGATCTCCTTTACTCATCGCTGAGTAAAAGACGAGATGTGACACCCATGGGTATCCGACGATGGAGAGACTATTGAGTATTAGAAACATGTGACTCGTTTTTCAAAAGAACTTAGGACTAAGACCAAAACCTTAGGTTGATTGTAAAATCTTGCAAAATTAATGATTCTGTTAAAAAACTGCTTGCATAAAAAAATCTTTTACAATTTCTTTTTCAAAAGATTAAAACCATTTTCTACGAAAGCCTATTAGGATCAAACTACGGTAAAAAAAATTAAGAGGCGTTATAACGCCTTTTCAAAAGGCGTTATAACGCGAAAAAAGGCGTAATAACGCTTTTTGAAAAGGCGTTATAACGCGGAAAAAGGCGTAATAATGCAAATAAAGGCGTAATTACGCCTTTCCAAAAGGCGTTATAACGCGAAAAAAGGCGTTATTAAGTCTCTTTTTTTTTCAATACATAACTTACTTAGCCCACCCTGGGGGCTGATTATAATTAGATTTCTAGGAAAAAAGATTTTTAAATGTGTAAAATATTTTCAGTGTTAAACCAACTAAGTCCTTCTCTGATGCCAGACGCTTCTACCAAGGTGTATGGATTTCAGAAATTTTGTTGAAGGCTAATTGCTCATTATACCTATGCAAATACTTTGCCTGTTTTTTACCAAGAGGAGAGAAAAATATTTCAAATTTGACATTAATTTTTAATACGTGGCTAGCAAAGCCCAAAGCTGATTCTGCCTATATCCTGGATTTTCAAAAATAGAGTGTTGACTTCTCTTAATATGCATGCAAAATGCAAACAACTGTCTGCGAGATGTGCAGGAACATAGAAAATACTATAATTTATAATATAATTTATAATATTAAAACTATAATCTAAATATTGCATAAATAAAGATGACTTTGGTTCAATCTTTCATATATTTACTATTTTAAAATAACGCCTTTCCATTTTTGGATACAACTCCTTTTCAAACAGGCCGGTAGTACGAATGTTAGTGTGTGTGTGTGGGGGGGGGGGGGTCCTCCACCCCATTTTTTGGGAGAATAGTCTTGCTATAGTTTAAATATAAAAAATCATTAATTGATTGCTTGGTCCCTTAACATTTTGTTGCAGTATGGTTAAACTCGGGCAAGTCATTGCATTTAAAAAAAGTTTTACCGAAAAATTAGAAAAAGTTTCCCCTCTAGTTTAGGCAGTTTATTTTTTTTTTCGGGGGGGGGGGGGTTCTTCTTTTTTCGTTTGCTTGTCAATTTTATGGGACCCCCCCCCCCCCCACTTTAAAAGCACGGGCCTGTCAAAACCATAATAATGGCCCTTCAAAAGGCATAATAACGCCTTTTTGAAAGGCGTATTAATGCCTTTTAAAAAGGCGAAATAACGCCTTTTAGAAAGGCGTAATAACGCCTTTTGGAAAGGCGTAATAACGCCTTTTGGAAAGGCGTAATAACGCCTTTTGGAAAGGCGTAAAAACGCCTTTTGGAAAGGCGTAATAACGCCTTTTGGAAAGGCGTAATAACGCCTTTTTAAAAGGCGTAATAACGCCTTTTAGAAAGGCGTAATAACGCCTTTTGGAAAGGCGTAATAACGCCTTTTGGAAAGGCGTAATAATGCCTTTTGGAAAGGCGTAATAACGCCTTTTTAAAAGGCGTAATAACGCCTTTTTAAAAGGCGTAATAACGCCTTTTAGAAAGGCGTAACAACGCCTTTTAGAAAGGCGTAATAAAGTCTTTTGGAAAGGCGTTATAACGCCTTTTGGAAAGGCGTAATAACGCCTTTTTTCGCGTTATAACGCCTTTTGGAAAGGCGTTATTACGCCTTTTTCCGCGTTATAACGCCTTTTCAAAAGGCGTTATAACGCCTTTTAAATTTTTTTTTACCGTAGTTTGATCCTCATAGCTAGGCTTTCGTAATTTTCAAATTAATGTAAAAAAGAATGTTATTTGTAGAATTACATTTTGTTTTTAGTTGTATGTTCTTTTGTAAAATAGGTCCATGGAATTTTAATTACCTCATCAAAAGGCTATATTTGTATACTTTTTTCCGTCTTTGTTTTCAGTGTTTTAGAGATAATTGTCCTTTACTCACTGGCACTTGTCTCTGCAATAATTCTTTTAACCGATAGTATAATTATAGCTATCGGTTAAAAAAAAAATATTACAGAAACAAGACAATAAATTGACTGTGCCTCAGCCGTATATAAAATTACAGTATTATAAATACACTAAAGAGGTCTTTCGAATTTTCTGTTTCCGAGAGCTACAGTACTAGTTCTAAAGGCAAGCTATAAAATATTAGAGCATTATTAATTATGATCAGAAAACCTGCACTGATGTTCGGTGGAGAGGACCCCATAATTCTTTACGAAAATTCACTGGAAAATTATTAAAGCTATATATGGCGTATTCATAATTTTCACCGATTTTGAACTTGAATAACCTCGTGTTTCCATAGTTAAATTGATTTTAAACTGGGTCTGTTATTTAAATGCGGATTCAGTAATTAAACCGGTTATTGTTTTAAATTTCTAATATCTTTGAGACGTGATTGATTTAAATTGTGTAATTTACAGGAAAGCCCTATCTTTATATAAAGTAATAAAATGAATAGAAAGATCTTTTTAATTTTAGTTAGTCTGAACTTTTAAAAAATACGCCATATATGACTTTAATGTCATTTAACATTGTTTAATTTGTTCTATAGCCCATGTAGCCTAGAAATAAATAAACCCTTTGTTAATAGTTTTGCATGTTTAGTGTATTTTACATGTTTGTATTCCTGCAAGTATTTAAATACTACATTGCTCTCTCTCTCTCTCTCTCTCTCTCTCCGTATATCCGGAAAATGATTGACTTGTAGTTTATTCATGTTATTGATTATCAATGTATGGTCCCCGTCCTTTGAACGCTTTTGGTAATGATAATCGTCAATGGATAAATCAGGTAGTGTGCATGACATCGCCAATGAATTCCGATAAACACTACTTCTTGGGCGTGGACAGGTGAAAAATCAAAATGTATATTCTTCGCTGATTTCTGACGAGTGTTTACTTGGATAATTTAAAAGAAATGGCGCTTGAAGAGCGTCAGAAACTGTTCGTCATAATAACACTCATTCTGACCGTAGTGGGTCTTGGATTAATGGTGGGGTCTTTTGCCACAGACAACTGGATCAAAGCCACGGGGAATAAAAACACGACATCAAACTACAACGCTTCCAATGTGCCGAGTATGAGTGGTACCTTTGGTCTTTTTCGTGGTAGTCGAACTATTAACTATGGAAATGGACCGAGGAAACATAACATAACGGGTATCTCATTCTGATTTGCTTTCATTTTATTTGTTCTTTTAAACATATTGATTTTTAAGAAGATGTAAACAGGAGCCGGGGAAGGGGGGGGGGGTGTTATTTAAACTGTCAGTTGATCATTTATTATGCTCCCGTTATCGAAGATTCGAGGGTACATGTATGTAGTTTTTGCCCTGCCCGTCCGTCTGTCTGTCTGCAAAAACTTTAACCTTGACCATAACTTCTGACTGGGTGGCGCTATGACTTTCATATTTCATTTGTGTAGACCTTTCTTTTGGTACCAACATATTTTACCTATTGACCTTGACCTTCGAGTTTGACCCACTTTTGCAAAAATTTACCAAACTTTAACTTTTAATTGGACATGCCTGAGTTTTAGCAGAGACTTCTGTGAGAATCTGATTTATTTAAAACATCGTGCATGTGATGTGTTGTGTGTGGTGGTGGGGGGGGGGGGGGGGGGGTTGATGGCTTGCACTGTTTGAATATTAATTTATGAAAATCTTTTGAGGTGAAAGGATAAGGGTTTTTAGATTTACTTTAAATTCAGGGTCATTCAGGTTTCCAAACAGGGCCTGGGAGGTGTATCACCTCCCCTAATTATTTTTAAATGGATACCATATTGCAGGGTTCTGGTGCATCCTAAAAGTCATTTTTTTCAAATATTCAATCAAGAAAATATAGTAGCATTACTTGAAACAGATGTAAGAGTTTGTTTTGTTTAAAAAATATATTTTTTTAAAAAAGGAGGAGGGGATGACAGCACTTAAGGCACATCCCTTTCTGATGTCCTTTTGAGTGGTGTCTATTCTATAGTAAGCATACAAAGAGTTTGATATAATACAGTTCCTCAGATGAACATGTTAGACAAATGAATACAATGTACTATACATGGTAATATCCTGTAAGCTGGTAAGTTGTGAACGGCATACAGGACTAATTCTCATCGACAGTTTTTTGTGAGAACAACCTGAAATGTAGGGCAGTATTTGGCATGTCTGTTGAAAGATTATTCTAGTACATATATACAATTGTCCATCATTTTAAAATATGTATTGTGTTATGCAGAATTTGTCTTTTTAAACCCACAAGCACTTTACTACAATTTGATATATAACCATTGGGAACTTTTACAAGTGTAGAAATGATATAGAAAGGGTAATGGTTTAAGTGCTGGCTGGTACACGTTGTATCAGTACCACCCTTGTACGGATATGAGGAAGTAATTCAAACCCCACTAATACAGGATTATAACTTTGTATAGGGCTTTGAATCATTTAATCGTGGTGTTTGTTTCTTATCGTTGAAGTTTACAATGACCGGAGTAATGGACATTCCTGCGACTCCAGGAACAGGAAGTGTGCGCACCTGTCAAGACTTGTTTTATCATTTAATCACCTGTAGTGACTACATGCAGTACTATATATACCAGATTAAACCATGTACCCATATCACCTGGTCTACTTTCTGCAATGTTATATTTTATGTTCTGTTCAAACAAGATTTCAAAGATTACACTGATTTACTTGTGTGACGGGTGTTTCATTAAATCAAAGATTTGAATAGTTTCAGTGTTACACAATATATTTTCCATGAATTATGTGAACAATTTTCTAAAAAATTAATAAGCCTTTGAAATTTTAAATTCAAAGACTCATGCATACAGGTCATTTGAAAGTTTGTTCAATTTTTTCACAATAAAGTTTTATGGTACAATATATAGTTTTATGGTCCACTTCTGACATGTGCAGTAAATTAAAAGTCAAGTTTTCTACTTAAATATGTTAAATTACTGTAGGTTGTCCAATCATGAGAAAGGTCCTCTTTACCTACATGTATAGCTTAATCATATCAATTAAGGCCCATAAGGCAATGAAAAAAATCCTCATCACTGAAAGTATTAGTTTTTTTTATTGTAAATGATCTTGTATATAGACACAGAATAATTTCTGAGAGACAGATTTGAATAGTAACTAATACTTTCTTTTCATTTTGTCTGGCCTGGTCACCATAAATAAGTATATGTAAGTACATGTATTAATATTTCTAACCACTGGAAAAAAAAACTTTAAGTGTCTCTGTCTCATAAGAATATTGGCATTGTACAGTTGGCTGTAGTCAACATCTCTGCCTACTCCTACAAGTAAGAGCCTTGATTAGCGTCCCTACACTCTTATATACAACGGCACCAAGTCAAAAGTATATCTCGCCATGAACCTCTAGCATGCTGGAGTATATCTCTGCCCATCTTTATTAGTTAACACATTTCACATAATAACTTAATTGTCCTGAGTACCTATTAAATTCAATCTGCAGACTCCTTATTTACTGTTTATTGAATGTTTGCTTGATATTTTTCTGCTCAATATCAAACCAGTTTAACATGATAAACTACCTCAAAGTACATACATGTATATACTACTAATGTAATCTCTAGCTTGGTATATCTGGCTCTTACTTCACCGACAGTCTTGTTGGGAAAGTGTGTGCTGTGAACTTGATTTAAGTTTTTACTTAGAAGGTCAAGGTCAAAATAAAACAGTAAAATCATTGTCAGGGAACATTTTGTCTTGCATTTTTCTATCTCTTTAGCCTAATCTTGCTACATACAGTCCATTACCTCTAAGTGTTTTTGATAAAGGAATTATTATAGTGCCCTTCTTAGAATAAGATTTTTGGGCTTTATTTAAAAATGGAAATTATCTATTTTCATTACAGTTGTCTGTGATAGTGAGTATTGCATTCTTTACAATGCAAAAGAAGGAGAAAAAGGATCACGAGAAAAGCTTAAAGAGATGGTCAATCTCTACACACGTAATCAAACAGGTACACATAATATCTTATATAATGCTGTAAAACAATGTGATGCTTTCTAAGTAATCAGAAAATTTCAATCAATCATTCTTTATTTTACTAATAATTATGTATCAGGTGTGATTAAATTTTTTCCCTGCTTTAATGGTATTGCAGCAGGAGATACGGAGATGTACCAGTATGGGTTATTTCCCTTCAGCCTGTGGGTTGTGGTCTTAGTCATGTCAGCTCTTGGAATGATCTGGGGTTTGGTGTACATTGGATTTGCTACATTCAACATTTGCGGGAAACCCATTGAGACCATCACTGGGCCATTTGGTCTATTTATATGGAAAGGACTAGCATGTTAGTAATTTTCCTCCATTTTTATTTTCATGAATCAAAGTGATTGAGTCCCCCCCCCCCCCGTAACTTCTGTAAAAGTACAAATTTTTTCATTATCTATACATGTAACCCACCCCCACAGTATTAAATTTGTCTTAGAAAAGTTTGGGAATGAATAAAAATTGTTTTTTTGAATTGTGAATGTTCTATTTTGTAGTGTTGTTTTCCCTGCTGGCTGTTGTGGTGTACTTGGTCCTATACTTCCAGCACTACAAAAAGAGTGTGTTACCAAGGGACGACCAACAACAGGGCTTCGTCAGCCACGCTGACCTAGATTTCTCCTTCTACATGCTGATGGTGTCCGTCATTCTCTTCTTTCTAAACTTGATATTTTTGTGCTTATCTGGACTCAAATTCTCATGTGGATTCACCAGAGAGGCAGAGAAAGTGATGGACAATGGCATTATTCTGTATTGATTTTGACAGTGTTCTGCATATCACTAATGATTGTATAGATCGATGTATTATTCGCAAATCAAATTCCAAGCATTTTTCTAAAGTAATTATAATTTATTAATCTGAAAAATTCAGCAATGGCAACTGACAGGTCTGGAGAACCCCCACAGTGTGTGTTTGTGGTGGGTGGGGTTGGGAGGATATCCCTCTATAGGTTCAGTACAAGATATACTATAGAAAACAGAGGTGAATGTAACTTATGGTTGTACCCCACTTTTTTGTTTGTCAAAGGAATTTCTGTTGGGTTGTGACCCCTCTTCTCCCTCCCCCAACTGAAATTGCTTCCTGTAGGCCTAAATGACATGCCCTTTTATTCATTGCATATTTACTTGTAACAACTGATTGATTTTTGTACTGTCTGTGTCAGTTTGTATTTACAGGTTCTTGCCAGGCTGCAATTTTGCAGTATACCCCATTTGAAATTCTATCATGGAAATACTGTTACAGATTGTTAAACTCATGTCATTTTCATAGTGCATGTATCCATATCAGAAAAAAAGTTAAGTAACAATGCCCCCTTGTTTAATGGGATACATTCAAGGTGCTTTATTGTGTCATACTCTTGCCCTGTTTTTGAAATTGTCATGTGTATGATGCTTAATGATCATTTGCAAAATATAATGAGCTACCTGCTTTGCAGAGCAATATGAAGCAGAAGAGAATGAAAACAAAAATTCAATATTTTGTAATTACATATTGTTGATCATTATAGTAGGTCTAAAAATTTTTGATATGGTTAATGAAGGTTGTTGAATTCCTTTTCGTGAGTTACATGTATAATGTATTATCCTAGATGGAAAGGAAATTTCAAGAAACTGAAAGGCTTAACATGATAAAATTGTGAAGAAAAAAAATTACCATTATACTTTAAGAACTTTGCAGGTACATTGTAGAGAACAAAAATTTTGATTACAGTGTATTTTTTATACTCCTTTTCCAAATAACATTGATTGCAATATTGTTTCAATGTATCAAAAGTAGGAATACTAACTTTAGAATGAAAATGATGAGTTAGTATTGACCATTGGTACATATCACGTTTTCAGACTCTGTATTCAGAATTATATTGTATTGCCAGACTATAGCTTTAATTAATCTCTACAACTTTTTATTGTAGATTAGTCACAGGCAGGTGCTGTAGGTGCTTATTGATTTTGTTCTTTGTAGAAAAATCAATGTTTAATTAAGTTTTTTGCTTTGTTGTCCTCTGATTTATGAAATAATTATGTTATTTTCATGAATTTTGCCCATTTTTTGTATTCATGATTTTTATTTTTGATTGATGATGAATTTTTAATGACATATTTAAGGACTGTTAGAATTTAGTTGTTTGGAAAATAGTTCTTATGATTTATCATTTTTATCCATTTTTAACTAGTCAACTAATTAGTACCAAAAATGATTTACATTTTTATTATATATAGAATATTAGTTATTATTATTAATGCTGTTAAATCAGAGGAATGATTGAAATCCATGGGGGAGGGCCATTGAGATGTTTCAAGACATATTTACATGTATTTTATATAATATCCATTGCTTGGAGTAAGTTGGGTTATTGATTATATTAATTAAAATCAATTCATCATAACATTGTCTCAAAACTTTTTTTCGTTCATAAAAAATAAAATTGTTGTGTTAATTCAAAATCAAACACTTAATATTTTTGATTAACCGTTTATGATTGTTATTTTTACAGTAAAAGATACAATATCTATATAACTTTGAGAGTTTGTTTTTTAATGCTGTCAGCTACATCACAAATCTTTACAATGAACCACTTTTTAGGTTACCTGAGTCATAAATGCTTTCCACGCCATTTCATCGCCGTGAGTTGTGCATTATTTATAAATTCTTAACCTTCAATTTCAGCTTTTCTGAACTAATTTCAACCAATATTGGTATATATATGACATTTAGGAATGATGGAGACAAAAAAAAAAAACAACAACAACAACAAAAACAGTAAATTTCATTGTCTCCGCACCTCCGAGTTTAGGCTTAGGGCTGTTCGATTTCAGAATGATGGTTTATTCAGACATGGATAACTCTAGATGGATGTAAATGTACAGTCTGTGGGCAGTTTATTTCACCAAAACCGCTTGAGAGAGACAAAATGAGTTAGGGGACGATCATTTGATTCTGAAGGGATGGGGGGTAGAGGCTGGCTGATTTTGGAAATAAATAACCTGTCCTTGAAAAAATATGTCCTTCACCGACACGAAAATAAATACCGGGAATCTGACTCGAAAAAATTTGCCAGCCCCCCCCCCCCTCCCCCCGAATTAAATGGCATTCCCCTTACAATTCTGGAGGTAGTGAAATTACCGCTTATACATGTTGAAGTAGGCAAATTCTCCCATGGGAGAGATTTGCAATAACATTTTATCAACCCATTCTCTTTCAAACACTAGTATATATTTCATGTCATTGCCAATGCTCCAACGGGACAGTATTTTGGCGTACTTTCAACCATTCGCAATTAATAAATACATTCTAATTGGTCATCTATTAGTTCGTTACATCTTGTTCTCCTTTACACTGTTTTAAGGGCAATATTTGAAACTACTGGCATTTAATTTAAAAGGATTTTGTCGCAATTTCGAACTTGAGGCAAAAGATGCCAAAATTAAACAAAATAGCCCCGGATCTTTTGAACCTTGGCGCGGACATTTAAGTTTTACTGCCGATTAATATTCTTTGACGTACAATTTATAAATCCATTCTTTAAAATCGGTCACATGATCAACATAAGATTCACGCAAAGAAAACAAATAAATCAACTTTGAAAGTTGGAAAAATAGGCAGTTTTTGAAACACCATACTACCTGCAACCGCTTTTATTTTTTATTGAAAACTTTTTATACAAATTGCGGAAGATATTGGAAGGATAGATTTTCGAGATCTGGTAGGTTCTGCTATTCAGGCGAGGGGTGCTATTTACATGTAATTGCATATGAAAATACAAAGAATTCTTCAAATGAAATATTTCCCGATATGATCATATATAGAAGGGATTTGTTTTTTGGATAATGAATTTGGATCTAATAATTTTTTTACCTTAAGTGAAAATGCTTAAATTCTTTAAAAATCTTCTCTTCCTCTGAAAATTAACCAGATAAACTAGGTGTAGGGTTGTGATTAACAAGGATGCCTCTCCCAAAATTGTGAAATTTGTGGCCTGAGGATCAGGGGTTCTGTTAGGGAAGGGAGGAGGGCTCTATTGATTATATAGTGTAAATGCATTGTTTCTTTGAAAATCTTCTTCTCTGCTCCTGAGTATTAGGCAAACAAAATAAGTGCATGGTTATGATGAGCAATTTTTTAAGAGCGCCTCTTCCAAAATGTTAACTTCATGCCCTCTGGGTCAGGGGTTCTGTCAAGCCCTCTGGGTCAGGGGTTCTGGTGTAAAGGTGGTGCTCTTTTGAACATTCAGTGAAAATGAATAAATCCTTTAGAAATTTTTCTTTTCTGCTCCTTTGTTATTTAGCAAACAAACAAGGGATCATGGCTCCTCCAAAATTGTGAAATACAGCCCCGAGACAGGGGTTCTGGTTTTGGGGTGGGGCTCTATTGATATTATAATGAAAATGCATTAATTATATGAAAATCTTCTTCTGTACTAATGGGTACTATACAAAAAAGTGATTGATTATGATAAGCAAGGGTGCCTCTTACAAATTTGTGAAATTCATGGCCCCTGGATCTGGGATTCTGGTTTTAGGGAGAAGCTCTTTGTGAAATTCCTGGCCCCTGGGTCTGGGATTCTGGTTTTAGGGAGAAGCTCTTTGTGAAATTCCTGGCCCCTGGGTCTGGGATTCTGGTTTTAGGGAGAAGCTCTTTGTGAAATTCCTGGCCCCTAGCTGAGTCTGGGATTCTGGTTTTAGGGAGAAGCTCTTTGTGAAATTCAGAGACACAGTCATTTCCTCTTAAATGTCTCACAACACAATCCTCAAATATCTTTTTGTAATTTATCAAAAGTATTTATTTTCATCTCTAAACTGGTCTCTAAATGTCAGCAAAACTGTGAAATTAAGTGATAATTATTTCATATAGGATTATATTTAATAGATAGAATGTTCTATCGATAATGTCCCACGGACCCGGTTTGAGGGCCTGTAACGAGACACAGTATGAGGTTATATCACCTATTCAAATAAATGTAGGTGTTATCACCCATTCAAAAAGATTATATCACTTAATCAAATGTAATAGGTGATATACCTATTGGAATAGGTGACATCACCTATTCTATTGAAATGGATCATACGCGGATCTAGAGGGGGTCGGGGGGTGTGTGTGTGTCTGACCCCCCCCCCCCCCTGGAATTTGCAGAGTTATTAAATTTATATACTAAACCAAGTAAAAGGTGACCTTGGACCCCCCCCCCCTAGAAAACGCAGACCCCCCCCCCCTCGAAAACGCAGACCACGAAAGAGGTTTTTCACGTTTGGGCGGCGAGTTTTTTTTTTTTTTTTTTTTTTTTTTTTTTTTTTTTTTTTTTTGCTTGTCAACAAACAACAAATTTCTGGCTTGGATTTTTTTTGACTGGGGTGGACCCCCACCCCACCCCCGGAAAAAAAAATCTTGGATCCGCGCGTGTGGATGGTATTACCTTTCCGAATTGGTGACCTCACCTATATTGAAATATAAATAATCTATTAGGTGATAAGTGATGTCACCTATTCGAGTTGAATATAGGTGATATAACCTATTTAAATAGGTGATATCACCTAGATTAGTGATATCACCTACATGTATTCATTTTGAATTGTGATATCACTTGATGGAATGAGTGGTATCAGCTATTTTCATTTCTTATTTCATTAAGTAATAAATGGTGCCTTCTTCAAGACAGTCTAGATTCAATGCATTTAGTAAATGGCGAAATCTTATATGTTATGTTATATACGCACAAAAGAGGTCCGTTGAACAACCCGATTTTACGTATAAAAAACTAGATTTCGATTGAGCCTAAGATACTTCGGGCTGTCTCCTTTCCCCCGTGTTATGGTTTGAGACAACTTAATATGAAATGGGTCCCTGTAATATTATATATAATTTACTTGCAGTCAGTTTTGCTAAATTTATTGCTTTTTTCTCTGTTATTATTATTAATGTTTAAGAGACTGAATATAACTTTCTGAATCATGTTTATATAGAGTAAATGCATGCAGTCTAAGCATAGTCTTGGGAGCAGTTGTTATTTCATACATAGTTTGAATAGGTGATATATTAAGTACCTATTCAAAATGAGAAAAAAATGATACCATCTATTCGAATAAGTGATATCACCAATTCAAATAGGTGAAACCGCCTATTCAAATACCGGTAGGTGATATCACTTATTCAAATAAGCGATATCACCAATTCAAATCAAATAGGTAATATTATAGGCCCGTAGAACGCTCCCCCTTTTTTTGAGTATAGTATTTTGGTTTAGTAAATTTTCATTTAGATGCTGGTTGCCCCACCCACCCACTTTTTGTTGCTGTATTTTTATTATTATTATTAATATTATTTTTGGTTTTGTTTTTGCTCGTCAGATTTTGCCAGGAGGTTGCCCCCCCCCCCCCCACTTTTGAAACCGTTGCTACGGGCCTGATATCATCTATTCGAATAGGTAATATCTCCGATTTGAATACATGATATCGCCAATTCAAAAGCTTTAATAGGTGATATCACCAATATTCGAATAAGTGATTTTACTTAAGGAGGCTGGGGGTCAACAAATTAACCACAAATTAACCACCAGATTTAATTTAATTATTTAGATATGATATCTTAAGCTGTCAACTATCATTTGGCAAAGAAAAATTTCAAAAATTTTAGTTTTAAAATTTGATCATTTTCTATATCTTCATATGGAGCTCTTCTTCTAAAGGAGATCAATATAGTCTAAAAATGGCCACAACCCCCAGCCTCCTCTTAAGTTATATAGCTTATTCTAACACAGGCACCTAGTTGTTTCTGTAATAATCTTTTCCCCCAAATTATTATAATAATAGTACTTATTTCTGTATTTTTTTTTACTCCATAGTATAATAATAACAAATTATATAGCTTAAAAAGCCCCACAGAAACAAGTGCCTTTGTATTCTAACTAGGATTAAAAATATATTTGAAATACTATTCACTGAAATCTTGAAATCTTGAAATCTTGATCAAATACCTGGAAAGGTATCAAATACCTGGAAAGGTACATAATTTTTTCGTGATGAAACTTTTTAAAAAAGAGTAAAAAAAAAAGTCCTTTAATGATAAATTCTTGAGGAAAATGATATATAATATTGAGGAACATATAGTCAGACCTCCGAAACATTCATGAACGAATGAACATTATGTATCGTAACTTTTCGGATATTTTCTAAAAACTAAGTTTTAAAGCGAAGATATTCGATGAGTTCCGAACTGTACATCTTCTGGGGATTTCTTGTAAGAAACTGCTTTCATTTTCAGAATATCGAAAATGTTTAAAAAGATATATATCTATTCATAATTATATATTTTATCAGAGGAACACATGACTTCATCATATTTTGTTTAATTTTAGCCCAAATAAAGTAATTTTTGTGTATTTAATACTGTTCAAATCGGGATTTCATGTAAGAAACTACTTTCGTTTCAATTTCAGAATATCGAAAATGTTTAAAAAGATATATATCTATTCATAATTATATATTTTATCAGAAGAACACATGACTTCAGCATGTTTTGTTTAA